ATGCATGGATTGGAGGGTATTATGCTTAGTGAAATAAGTCAGACAGAGAAATACAAATATGGTATGTGAAATCTAAAGAAGTAAAATGAACGACTATGACAAGAGAGAAACAGACTCACATATATAGAGAACAATCTAGTGGCTATCATGGGGAGAGGGAAGGTGGGAGGGGCAAGATATGGGTAGGGATTAACAGGTAGAAACTATGTATAAAATAAATAAGCTACCAGGATATATTGTACAGAACAGACTCTACAGCCAAAATTTTATAATAATCTTAAATGGAGTATAAACTATAAAAATACTGAATCACTATGTTGTACACCTAAAACTAATATAATATTTTAAATCAACTATACTTCAATAAAAATACAAAATAAAATTTAAAACTAAAAAAAAATGTGTTTAAATGACAAGTAGACAAGAGTGGACTTGTGATGGTTAACTTTATGTGTCAAGTTGACTGGGCTAAGAGATGCCCAAATACTTGTAAAATAACATTCATGGATGTGTCTGTGAGGTTGTCTCTGAAGCAATTAGCATTTGAATCCATAGGTTGAGTAAAGGAGATCTCCCTCACACATGCAGGCCATCATCATTCTATATACACAGGGCCCAAGAAGAACAGAAGGGCCTTCAAGGAAGGGTGAATTTGCTCTTTGCCTGAGACAGGAAACCCATCTCCTCCTGCTCTCAGACACTGGTGCTCCTGGTTTTTTGGTCTTTAGATGTGGACTGAATGACACTGTCAGCTTTTCTGCGTCTCCATCTTGCAGATGGCAGATTGTAGGACATCTTAACCTCCATAATCATGTGAGCCAAGTCCCATCATAAATATATATATAATTTTATTTATATTTACAAAATATAAATGTATTTTATATATTATTGGTTCTGCTTCTCCAAGGAATACTAATACAGCAGGCCCAGAAGCATTCCAGCATCTGCCCCATCTTGAATGGTGTTCTCTACTGCCGATGGTTATGCCCTTGTTTCAAAATCTCAGGTGCCTGTTTGAAACTCTTCTGTTGGAGCTTGCCAGGGGCTCCATACACATCTTTTTCTCCTACAAATAATTCATGCACCATTATGGGCTCTTCTGAATCACACGACCCAAGTGGTAGGACTGCTTATACCATATCTTCTACATGCCCTTCCTTGCCCACGGCCCCTACTGAAACCTGGCAGCTTTCCACATCACTTGCTAAATCATTCAGTGCTGTTTTCCCAAGTGTGGTATTTGCTGCACATTGCTTCTTCTTTAATGGTAGGATGCGCAAGGTACAATAATTTCTGCTTTACCAGTGCCCCAACATTGGCTCCCTAAAAAGGTCACAGATATGACAAGCTGCTGGATCTTTTTATGGCTTATCTCTCGCACTCTCTGAAGCGCACGTGTCTTATCATGGTATCCAGAGTCACCTAAGCTATGAATTCAACCTTCTCTGAAGTTCTGCTGTTCTTACTATTAAGTCCTGTGTCTGGTCACCAGCTCAGTATGTCCTCCAGCTATAGGTGATAAGGATCTCTCTAAAGACCACCAAGGAGGACCTCTGACTTTCACACTTAGTTTTAAATAGATGATTAGTTAGTTTTCTCTCCTGAATGCACCAGCAGGCACTCACCAGTAGCCACCCAACTTCATGTTCCTTAATTTTATTATTTTCCCTGTATCTCTCAAATGCCAGAGATCCTGCAAAAGCTAATGCATCACCATCATCTTAGCAATGGTGCTGCTACAACATCCAAGGAACTATCCAACATCACTTATAGGGTCCGCATTGCCATCCGGCTGATGTCTGATCCAACTCTAAACTTAAATCTTTAGAGTTTGCTTTTGGGGACGATTTCTGGCACCAATTATCTTAAATCAGGTTCCCTAGAAGCAGAGTCTGAGGCAGAGAATCTTATGCAAGTGATTTATTCAGGGAATGCTCTCAGGATAAACCTTTGAAGGGGTGAAGAAAACAGGATAGGGCAAGAGACAAAGCTAAACAAAGATGTGATTTCAGGAAAAACTCACCCTCAGCCTGAACCCATTTAGGGTTCTGGAGTCTCAGCTGTTCACAGAGGTGGCACTATCTGTATCCAAGGGTGCTGGGCTGTTACATACTTGTATTAGTCAACCACTGATTACTGACCCCTGGTAAAGTGGAGGGTTGCATAATTTCCTAGACATCTTCTGATAAGACAGCACTGACATGCTAAGGGCTCTCCCCATTATTGCTAAAATTAAAGTTGTCAGTAGCCAATACCTGAAGCATCTGGGAGATGAGTGTATCATCCTGGCAAACAAAATAGGGTGGGACACCAATAAGATCTGACATGCCAGTCCCACTCCCCTCCAGCTCTCTGATTTGTTAAAGGTGTTTCTCTTTGATCAAAGTCAGAGGGCAACAGAGACCAGGGAGGCAATTGCAAAGACTCACCTCCTAGGGCACAGAGCAGGGTGGAAACGGTTGCAGAATGGATGGAGAGGAGCACCTAGAAAAGTTCCTGTGCTTCTACATAAAATCACTCAGGGTTTCCATATAACCTAAAAGATTAAGCCAAAGTCCTCAGCATAGCAGGTTCTTCATAGTCTCTCCTCCTGGCCTTCCTTGAATCTTTATACTTCATGGCTATTTACTTGATGCAGCATATGCTCTGGCCACAATGTCTCAGACTTTTACTTCTGAAATACTTTTCTTCTTGCCTGGTATTCCCCTTCCCAATATCATTACAGCTTCCTCCCACCCTACCAAAGCTTCCTCCTACTGTGCCAAACACACACACACAGCTTTATCCTAACAACAATCATTCAACTCTATTTCTTTATAAGTCCATCTCTCAAATAGATCTTGAATTCCTTGAGAAGAGGAATAGCTTTGCTCTTGCATTGCTTTGGCACAGAGTAGCAATGAGTGAATGAATGGAAGAAATAATGAATGACTCAGTCATATCCCTCAAAGTTCAGTTTTAAGTACATCTTTCTAATGCCAACTCTGTCCTCTCCTTCCTGTCTCCAGTTTTAGATGTCCCTTCACTCTTTACCTACATTTTTCATAGAGCTTACCAAAGGGCATCACAATGGTTTGGTCAGATGCCTGTCACCAGCACTAAAAAATGAGCTTTTCACCATTATATTTCCAGTGCCTGGCAAATAATAGCTCCATGAAGAATGTGACAGATAGATAAATGACTGAAAGAGTGAATGAGTGTAATAGACAGTGACAAACCATATCATTTCCAGGAGAGGGAGCATATTTTCCTTTTTTCAGAATCAGAGGAAGGATTGTAAATTACAATGGGATTTTAATAAGTGTGGCATGTTCAATAGGCTGCACAGTATTTGACAGAATATTATAGACAGATGATAGATTTATAGAGAGAGAGTATTATACTTAGAGTAGTTCTATCTGATTAGTTCTCACTTCCAATAAGGGAACATTTCCAATGTACGGTATAAGCAATTTTATCTATAGTTTTTGAGTAAGGATACATTTAAGCGACAGTGTTTTAAGGTATCCAACACTGCTAACTTGTTAATATATTTAGAGTTTCACCCCCCCAAAGATTTCTAAGACTCTGTTTAATGTTTAGAACAACACCATTTAGACAAAATAGTTGTAAAGCACCTTGATCTGAAAGTTGTGGCTCTTCAGCTACAGTTCTGAAACCCAAGATTTATTTCATTCAAAAAGCTTCTCTCGCAGAATCTTTTAGGAGAAGAAGCCTTTATCTCATTCTTTGGGGTGCTCTTTTAGTGAGCTGCTGCTTACCACACACGTTGAGTCTACAGCACGGAGTCTCAGCTGTTTATGAACTCTGTTGAGTGCAAAGGTTTATTTGCACAAAGTCTGATAGCTTTTGACAGAACTATAGCTATTCTAATAGTGAAAATAGTCATCTGTTTTTCTAGACACCTGATTAAAATAAAGCAAAGAGATGAAAAGATGTTTAAACATGTTTCAGACTAATAATGTCAAGTCAAATCCAGCTGGAAATACAAGTGTTCTCTTGGTGTTCCACCTTCTAATCTTGGTCCTTAGTAAAGCAAACTGTACATATCCACAATTCACAGGCTCATTTTCACTATTTTTACCCAGCTTCTTCTTCAGTCATAGGATATTTTATCAATAATAAAGATAAAAGCGTGTTCTGTTATCTCCGATTAAATCGTCTGTGTTCAATTTTCTTGTACCTACTGTTTTGTTTTATTCTGAAGACTAGGGAGCAAATTTACATGACTCAATATTGTGCTTTTTTTTGATCTTTTCATTCCTTCTACCTTAACACATAAAGGAAAATTTTAGGAGTTGGAAGTAACCATAGAGATAGTTGTATCTGGTCTTTTTTTATCCATGTGAAAAACTTCAGTCCAGAGACACTGCACAGGTGGGTAGGTGGCTATGCTAGGACAAGAAACCCATTTTCCTGATTAATATTCTCTGCATCTCCATTCATCCCAAACTACTATTAAGGTGCTATTAATGCCTCTATTCACTCACTCATTCATGAGTTCATACACGTAAGCTCTTAGAATCTCAGACCTTAGTGTCTGGTGCATATAACATCTATTAATATCTTATTTTTCTTATAATTAACTACTATTTAATTAAATTATTTCATTACATGTAATTAGAATTTTCATTAAATTATCTGTAATATATTTACGTTGCCTCTCTTCAAGGAAAATCACTGTACTTTATAAAACACTTACTCACCAAGGTAGGTAGAACAATAGTCCCTCCCAAAGATGTCTGTGCCTTCATGCCCCAAATCTGGGAACATGTCACATTATATGGCAAAGGTAGAATCGTGGTTGCAGATGGAATTAAGTTTGCTAATCAACTGACCTTGAGTTGTGGAGATTATTTTGGATTATCCTGATGAGACCAATGTTATCATAAAGTCCTTATAAGTACAAGAGAGAGGTTAAAAAAAAAAGAGAGAGAGAGAGAGAAGAGAGTTAGCAGTGAGGAAAGTACTTAGCCAAAGTTACTGACTTTGAAGATGGAGGGAGACAGCCAAAAGCCAAGGATGTGTCTGAATGCAGCCAAGAATGCAGATGGCGTCTAGAATCTGGGAAGAAAAGGAATGAAGCCTTCAGAAAGGTAGGAAGCCCTGAGAGCAACCTAATTTGAGCCCAGTGAGACCCATTTCAGTCCTCTGAACTACAGAGCTGCAGGATAATAAAGGTATTGTTGTAAGTCATTAAATTAGTGGTAATTTGTTACCAGACCTCTAAGCCCCAAATATACTCATTTTAGAGGAATATGAAAAGAAAAAAAATTAATGTAGAACTTGTGCATTTGGCCAAATCAATGGTAGGACTGCAACCAGAACACACCAGCACAGTGCCAAACAATAGTAGAGTCTAAGATGATGGAACGTCCTACAGCTGTATTGTCCAGAGGGTCACCATTCACTACACTGAGCTCTTGAAATGTGGCAAGTACACCAGAGAAACTGAATTTTTCATTTTATTTAAAATTTAAATAGCCACGTGTGGCTGGTGGCTAACAAACTGGCCAGCACAGTTAGTGTCTGGATTATGATTAAACGCTTCTCCCTTATCCTGCCAAGGGACTGAAAGACAGTTCTCAAAGAATAATAATGTAACAAGTCAGAAACAAGTCTTTGCCTGCTCTAAGTACTGGAGCTGCTGTGTTTAGTAAATTATATACTCAGTAAATATTTAATGAAGCTCGTGGGAATGTGGTGGCCGCTGCCATGACTATCAGGAGGAAGAGGAAGACAGTTACTGGGAGGAAGATAACAACTTTCTGCAGCCAAATTCCAGCAGGCTTGGCCTCTGCTGCAGTAAGACCAGAGGTTTCCAACCAGCAAACTGCTCACATTCAGTGGCCCTGACCCCGCACGCATCTGATATTACAGGGCAGAGTAACAGAAATTCAGTTTCAAATTCATTCCTAACTGTAGGACTTTTGCAATGTCCTGTTCTTTGTCCTCTTTGAATTTCTCCTGTTTACTCACTGATCCTGGTTCCACCTGGTTTAACCTCTACCTTATGCAACTTTCATAGAATAAGTTTGTCTTTTCTAAGGTTTTCTCAAGTGGTGCAAAAAAAGGGGGGGGGAGAGGACCTAAACAGTGGCAAGTTTTATTTTGAGACTAGTTTTTAATTTGAAGGTAAAAGTGCATACACATACATGTCTTTGGAAAAGTTATTTCATTTGGTCTTGATTATTTTTCAGTGGGTTATGGAATTTTAGTTATGAACTTATACTTCATTTTATGACATAATAAGGCATATTCTCTCGTTGCAAAATTTTCTCACCTCCACCCAACTCTCCGTTCTGACTGTTAAGCACTGGCTCAGATCCTGATTATCTCCCTATAGTACCAGCTATTATAAGAGATAAGACTTACTGAGCAGTTAATACGTGCCAGACCCTTTTTTAATAACCCTCTCCTTACCACACCACTCAGTGATGATGATGACGCTGGTATCCTTATTCTGCAGATGCAGAAATGAGCATCCAAAGGATAATAACTAACTAGCTTATGTTTCCCAGCTGCAACTGGCAAAGGAAACGCAGCAAATCTGGAAGGAGAACCCCTGCTCTTAGCCATTTTTTGCCACATTGACTTCAACAACTTCACAGGACACCGCCAGTGAGCATCAGTCTGAAGACAAATCATAATTAGTATCTTAGTATTATAAAAATAGTGTAGTTAATCTAATAATTTAACGGCTAGTTAGCTTATACCTTAGAGTAAACATTTGGCAATGAGATAATATTTTTCCAGCAGGCTAGAGGTAATTCAAATTTATGTTTCTAAAAGTCTCAGGCAGAGGACCTAGAATAGTGAGCATACATTCAGACTCAATGAATGTCAGGTGCTGTATTCTTGAATTGGGACATATTTATGGCCAGTGCACCTGGGATGGCACATAACACATAGTCTCACATCCTGCCGTGTATATGATTAAAGCGGGAGGGCAGGGAGTTGAAGTCTCTGGCTTACAGTATTTCAATATTCCCTTAATACTATTTCTACAGTCCCTTAATTTGACAGCTAACTGGTCTCCAACATACCAGTGAGCTAACCTCTTCATAATTCTTCCCATTTTTCTCTCAGTTTGGACCCTCCAGTCCTGGCCTCCAGCATTTGCCCAGATCACAGTCACATTCTTCTAACTGGAATGCAGCGTGGTACCCTATCCACAATTCATCTCCACCATCCATTCTTCACTCTTCAGAGTAATGTTGTTAAAAACATGATCAAACAAGCCTGACTAGGTCTTGCTCCTCCTTAAAACCTTTTTCATGTCTTTCTATTGCCCTCAAGAAAAAAAAAAATCCAAATTCCCAGGTAGAGCTAATCATTCATAGCTACATATTAATTGGAAGAAAAAATCTTTAATACCCACTCTTCTTCACCAGTCCTCCCTTTCTCAAATCTTATTATTTCTCCATAATAAGCAGAGTTGCAATTTATAGTTCACAATCATGGATAATACAACTGTCCTCAAAAATCTCTTAGGAAAGAGCCATAGTAAATACTAACATACTGTGTGAATCCACGAGACCCAGCTTCATTTCCGTCTTTGAAATGGTTAAACAGAGAGAGGGAATCAGAGTCCTGTTTCCCATCACGTGCTCTCCTTCAGGGACACAAATAATGTCTCTGTCCTGTGTTGATGGACAAAACTACCCAGCATTTTCAAAGATTTGATCACTCTTGGCCCAGCATAAATACTTTAAATCACATAAAGGCGTGCAAGATTCATCTCCACTCATCACTGGCAGGTGCACTCTTCTCTGTCTCTAATGCTGCTGCCTTTGACATTGGTCAGACCCTCTCCCCAGCCCATTTCTATGCTAGTTCCACAGCCTTTCATTAACTGACTTCTATCTCTGCCTCCTGCAACCCAGAAAACTCTTTCTAAAACACACAAATCTGCTCAAGTTCTTGCCTAAAATTCTGGGACCACTTCTTATTGCTTAGGACATGATAAAGCACATGCTCCTTAGCAGAGCAAGCAAGTTCTGTCAATTCAACTACTCACTACACGCACTTCCTATGTGCACATTAACACCAAGAATCTACAGCATCCAGAGAAGTAACATAAGAGGATGAAGCAAGAATAGCAGACACTGTGGAGAAATGGGAAACCAGAGAGCCCATGGAGAGCCGCACAGTATGGCCATCTCTTTTTGATCTGACTCTAGACTTTTTAGAAGGACTCATTCAATTTTTTAAAGTTAAGGCTAATTTAATTTTTGGATAATTACTGGGCAAAATGCGTGTTCAAGCCAAATTTGAGAGGCAGCACACCAGTTTGTAACTCTGCTCTATGTTTCAGTGTAAATCCTTTCCTTTGCCTAAAATGTTCTCTCCCTTATGTAGCTGGGAATTTAGTTCAGATATTGAGTTCAACATGATGGAATGACAGCCTGCCTACCACCCTCTAATCTGTGGCCATGGAATGCTCACCCGGTACAGCTGACAGTGATCACAGACTGTCCATGTTCTGGACTCAGCATTCCACAGATACAATCTCAGTTTTGTTTCCTTCTCACAACACTGTGAGTTGGATATATTCATTTTACAGATGGGGAAGAAGAGGCACAGAGAGGTTAACTAACTTGGCTAGCATCATGTCTAATGCAGGGAGAAAGCAGTCTCATAACCCCAATTTGGTCTCATCCCAAAGACCAATGTATTAAAAACTATGATCTTTATCACATTGCCACTTGTTTTTGTTTTGATCTCACCACCACCACTATCACCACAGAAACCAGGATCTCCTCGAGAGTCAAAACTGATTTTATTCACCATTGTGTCACAGTGTCTCGGACCCCTCATCATGAAGGTTAGAGATTCCTCCTCCATCAGTGCACCTATATGCTCACTCAGCCACTAAATTACCCAACACTCACTGAGCACCCAGTATTCACTCTGACATAACTGATCTGGGAACTTGTTGTGGGCTCAGGCTGTGGATGTCCCTGTATGGGTGGTTTGGAGAGTCACCACGGAGGCAGAAGGCAAGCACATGCTCCAGGCTTGTGGAGGCCACTGCATAAGCTCTCTGCCACAGGAGCCAGATCTACTGCCCTTTACCAGCTGTGTCATTTGGGGAAAACTGCTTATCTGGGCCCCAGTTTCCTCATCTGCTGTGACTGATCCCTAACTCACTGGCTTTTCTGAGTACTGAGTTCACACAAATAAAGCTCTTAGGATCTAAATGATCAGTAAGTCTTAGTTAGCGTGATGATTAATTTTACGTCTCCACATGGCTAGGCTACAGTGGCCAATTGTTTGGTCAAGCACCAGTCTAGATGTTGCTGTTAAGGTATTCGTTGGATGTGATTAACAGTTAAATCACAAACTTTGAAAAGCAGATTGCATGCCATAATGTGGGTGGGCCTCACCCAATCAGTTGAAGGCCTTAAGAAAAAAGATCGAAGTTTCAGGGGACAAAAAAAAAAAAAAAAAGAAATTCTCCTCAAGACTGCAAGATTTTGGACTCAAGATTGCAACATCAACTTTTACCTCAGTCTCGTCTGCTGGCCTGCACTACAAATTTTGGTCTTGGCAGTTTTCACAATTTCATTAGCCAGTCATTTAAAATAAATCTCTCTCTCTATAGATAGATAGATAGATAGATAGATAGTCAAACTCTCCCCCAAATAAAATAAATCTTAGAGGTACAGTCTAATTTTAAGTAGCAGTGCAGCTTTTTGTGGGAAATAACAATAGTTGGTGCTATTCTCATAGCTAAATTTGTTAATGGGCCAAATTCTACCCCTAAGATTTTTGAAATTATCCTTCTACAGCCTGACCTTTGGTATTTGTTTTATAACATAAAGGATTTTTTAAAATATTGTAAATATGTTTATTTATATATACACAAAAATTAATAATACATAATATAATTAATAACATATATGCTATATATATAAATATAAATAACTTGCCTAACATCATTCTAATGCAGGGAGCTATCTATCTACCTATCTCTCCTATTGGTTCTGTTTCTCTGGAGAAACCTGCCTAATACACTTAGTGTTACATTAAGGAGATTAAAAGTAAAATATCATCATTTGACCTTGATTCATGATGATCAAGTTCGTGGGGTGTTTCTAGCAACTCTAATGTTTAAAACGAAACCTGTCCCCACACAGGACAAAAGCAAAGGGAATAAAGTAATTGAACAGTCCTTTACCAACTTGCTTCAAAGTAAATCTTTATGATTCAAAGAGCAGATTTTATGGCAAAATTCCATCTTTTTTTTTTTCTTCCTCTTTTCTGAAGAGATAGATCTGTTAGGCAGGGAGCTGAGGGGAGGGCCTAAGGGGGAAATTTATGTCCACATGATAAGACAGAGACTTAATACAAGCCTTGAACTAAGGATTTTCCCACCTAACCCTCTGAAGAGCCATGTGATTGCAGTCGTTTGGTACCACATCTCCATCCTCTGTCTGCTCTTGGTTCACCCCTTCTCAGAAAGAGCCCTTCAGCCTTCAGCCCCAGCCAAGGACGCTACGCAGGGCTCGAGAGCAAAACTCTCCAGGGCTGGGAGGTGGAGCCTAGAAATCTCATCTGACGCTCCCATCCCTTCCATTGCTGCCTTTTCGATTTCTGAACCCAAGATTGTATCTGCCTGCTAGAAACAGTTCATACCCTGTCATTGTGCTTAAGCTAGGACCCTAAGTGGGATTCTGAAAGAATCAAGGCAAGACAAAGAGTATTTCTGAACAAATGTGAGAGTCATTTGTAAATGGCAGGGTTAGCAAATTAAATGTATCTGTTCTGCTTGAAATAATAATAATACCATTTCATGTACTTACTGTACACTAATTACGTTCTAAGTAATGCACACATGTTAACTTGCTTAATCATCACAATACGATGAAGTAAGTGTTTACTTTTTCATCTGAAAGAGGGAAAATCTCAAGTTCAAATATGTTGTATACATTTTCCAAAGTTACTCTACTAGTAAGTGACAAAATCAAGATTCAGAAGGTTCATGCTTTTAACCACTTGCACCTCATGGCTTTCTCAAAACCTCCAGAGAGCTTCAAAGGACTATTGTAAGCAGTAGTTATGACAGGCAAGCACCAATGGCTTTTTAGTGACTTTCATGATCTAATACTAGAATTCATGTTCCGTTTTCCCATTTGCACTCCAATCCCTCTCTCAAGCCCTCAGTAATGATACAGCTGATTGTTCACTTAGAGGTGTGTTCGTCCATTCTGTTTTTACGACCCGAGAAGCCCTGGAGAGTCAGCATTAACATGCATCGTCACTCAGTGAAACATTTACCTCTGCCAGCCCTCCATCCTCTCATCATTTACCGTTTCTGAGAATTTGCCACGCTGCCCCTTGGAACGCCGTTTCTTTGTCTATACTCTCTTCTACTGCTCTTATTCTCACCTTTGCTTTCATCTCTCTGTGTATCTCTTGTACTTATTCCTGGTTCTCAGGATCGTGGCTGAGCCCAAGCATCAGTCACATAGGAGGGAGCCAGCAGGCTGCTTGCTCTTTTCACCCGTACTTGCTTCCTAGGCAGCAACGCCTCCCCTGCATGACTCTGCAGCCCCCAGGAGACTGAGACGGGACACGAAGGAGCGGAAGGGCAGTCACTGTGCGGAACATCTCCCTGGAGGGAGAAACACATGAATAGGGTGCCTAATCCCTAAAAGCCAAAGATTCTCAGAAGATTTGGTTCACAAGCGCACTCCCGTAGGACAGCGCTTAAAGGCACGCGCTCCGGGGTCAAAGTGGATCGCCTGGAATCCCAGCGCTGCTGTTTACCGAATTCGATCCTGGGTAGGTGATCTGACATCTGTGTCTCTGTCGCCTTCACCCAGGAGATGGTGCATGTAAACCTCAGGGTTCCGCACCTGGCGATGACAGCACGTCCCCACCAGCGTCAGTTATCACTACTCAGCATCACAAAGCGTTAGACTAGGGTGACCTTTTAGAGGTCGACTCCTCACTTTCATTGATAGGGAAGCTGAGAGAAGAAAGGAAGAGATCTGGCTGAGTTACATAGCTGATGTTCCTCCTCACCAGGCCAGGACATGTGATGCACTATCATGGCCTTTCTAGAAACTTCTTGTTGCCTCTCTTATTTATGCTTCATATATTAAAGGCCGGTGTCTGTAAGTTGTTTTTCCTTTTGAGCTGATGGATTTCTGCTAAGCCATTATCTCACCTCTCTGCTCTGAGAGAAGGACAGAAAACCAGACAGGATTTGGGATGTCAGAGATCACCGCGGCGTAAACAACATGTACAAAGGTGCTGTGGGCGGTGAGGTAATCAACCTCACACAGACCTGGAAGGAAAAAAACAAAAACACGGGGCCAGACTCACCACAGAGTTCATCCCTCTAACTCCCTGACAACTGTAGGTTGATAAAAACAGGTCGTAATGTAGCTTAAAAGGGCCTGTGCCCAAAAGTATTCACTGAACTCAAATCTTTTCTTCATTAAACCAGTCTGAACAACAAAGAAACATCTAAAAATATTTATAATTTGGAACTGACTGGAACAAAAAAGATAAGACTGTTTGCTTCACATGGTAGTGGTCTAGTCCCACAGCAGATTCTGGGCACCTTCTCTGAGCTGAGCTCAACAGTCACATCTGATTTATTTACACACCCACAGCTCTTCATCTTCATGTGTGGACGGAGATGTATCCAGAGCCACAGAACATCCATCTGGACTTAGAAAGGATTACTAACTGCGGGTCCAGACTCTGAGGACTCATCCTGGATGTGGTCCTGCCCCCCAGAGCTGCCTGAGAGCCTTCCTGGGGTCTGGGGAGGCTTCCAGATAAGGGATGGCACCCCCTTGTTTTAACCTTGCTTACACCAAAGTAAATCTCATCAACCAGTTCATGTATGACCCTCTTCATTGCTCATCTCCAAATCTCCATGCAGACCTATCGTTTGGATTTAAACTTTCAAAAGGTATCTGGAGATAGCCAGGCGGAAGAGAGGGTGGTGGGATTGGGGGGGGGGTTGCTTCTTTGTAACTTTATTCAGGCAGTTTTAAGTTCACAGCAAAACTGAACAGAAGGTACAGAGACTCCCTTACACACTCTGCCCCATCAGGTGCAGGGCCTCCTCCTTTACCAACATCCCTTTAATGGTAGAGTTCTTTCACTCCACTCACTCACACCCTGAACTTTTTTTCTTTTCTTTTTTTTTTTTTTTTTTTTTTACTGTTCTCTCCTTGTTACAAACTGGCAGCTGCCATAGTAAACATTGGAACATATCTTGGTTTTTCCTTCGCATGTTTACTTCTGCCCCTGAGGTGGTCCTTTTTTAACTAAAACCATAGAAGCCTCTCCTTCCACCACACTCACACCACACACACAAAGCAGTTGGGAAAACATTTTAATTATTCCAAACCGCAATCCCTAAGGTAAATTTCTGAGTAACTACAAAGAAGGAAGCTCTAGAGACCCATAGAGGGAAACTAAAAAGTGAACTAGACCAAAACCTGGCCAAAGCCAGACACTGCAAAAACAGCCAGAAACTGGACTTCCTAAATCTGGCCCAGGCCCCTTTCTACTTGGTGAGGGGGTAGGGAGTAGCGGTGCTTTTTAGATGTTGTCACATTTCATGAATAGCTTCTAATAATTCGCTTGCAACACCCTTTTAGGGGTGTGTGGGGCCCACTGGCCAGGTCTCTCTGAGAATGAATCACTGCTTTAAGACAAACTGCTGTGGGAAAGAGGCTGGGATGTGTGTGTGTGTGTCTGTGTGTGTGCAGGGGTGGGTGAGGGTAGGCTGCATTTTCATAAGGATGATAATAGATTAAAGGAAATAGATTTCAGTCAAGCTGAGATGTAGTAGGAAGCAAAGTAGACTGAGAACCAAATACTGGACATGCTACTAACAAGCTGTGTGATCTTATGAAAATCGTGTTTACTCTCTGGGTCTCAGTTCCCTTAATCTATAAAGTGTAAAGATTTTTTACAGCCCTGGCAAAAATGTATGATTCTACCAGAGACCCTGAAGGGAAGAAGGGGACAGAGGGAGGAAAAAGGAGAAACGGGGCGGGAAACCGGGAGGGAAGTATGTGTGAGGGAGGGAAGAAGAGTGGACAGAGATAGGAAATACCTTTTAATCAGATGGTGAAAAAAAGTTGAAAATGAAACCGTGCGTCTCTTGAGGGCTCGAGTTTTCATCTTTAGGCATTTTTAGTGTTTAGCCATACACAATAATTTGGGGATCAATGTAGACTGAATGAACGGAAAGCCTGGGAAGGTTCACGGAGGAAAGAGCGAAGGGAGGAGAGAGAGGAAGCGAGCACTAGGGTACTCTGCAGACCTGATCCTCCCCCGGCTGTTCCCCCGCGGCGCGTGGACCGGAGCGGGCTCCCGCGCTCGCTCTCGCTTCCCGGTGAGCCGCCCCGAGGCCGCCAGGGGGCGCTGCTCTGAGGCAGCAGGGCCGTGCCCGGCGAGGGGGTGGAGCTGCTTTAAATCGCGGCGCCCAGCGGGTCCGCATCTCAGTCCCGGCCCGGGAGCAGCTAAAGCTTCTTGACTCTCGACTCTGGCGCCGACCCGGACCCGGACCCGGACCCAGAGTTTCTCCAGCGGCGGCGCAGGGAGCAGGGCTCCGCGCTGTAACTTCCTCGGCGCGGCTCCGCTATCCCCGGGAGTCCTCCGTGCGCACCTGCCAACTCCGCCTTGTGCACCTGCCGCCCCTGAGCCTGCGCGGGCGCCAAGCGAACCATGGCCAACGCGGGGCTGCAGCTGCTGGGCTTCATCCTGGCCTTCCTGGGCTGGATCGGCACCATCGTCAGCACGGCGCTGCCCCAGTGGAAGATTTACTCCTACGCCAGCGACAACATCGTAACAGCCCAGGCCATCTACGAGGGGCTGTGGATGTCCTGTGTGTCGCAGAGCACCGGGCAGATCCAGTGCAAAGTCTTCGACTCCTTGCTGAATCTACACAGTAAGTGCATTCCCCACTCCCACGGCTGTGACCCAGGGGCCCCAACCCCTCAGTGGCTTCACTTTGGGACTAGTGGCTAACAGCCAATTCGTTGTGTGATGACATGGCTGTAAACCTTACGTGGATCAAGTCTTTTGATCGTGTGCTCTGTCCCGTGGAAGCGGAGGGGACCGTGGTTTGGGGAAAGGGCAGCCCAGTCCTAAGGTTTTCTCGAGCTCCCTGGGTGACACTCGGCTCCTCGGTGTGTGGTTTCATCTGACATGTCCATGGAGGTGGGGTGACGATTGAGCAAGTGAAGGCCAAACTTGAACTTGAGCTCTTAGTCCTCCCTTGGACATTCCAAGATTCTGTGTCAATTGTAGTGTTGGGATGAGAATATGCTATGCCTTGAAAAGTCCGGAGCTTGGTAGCTTGTCAAGTTTGTAAAATTAAACAGATAATCCCAAAGTTATTAGATACGTTTTTTACTCTATCTTTACTATCAGTTTTCATAGGGAAAATTCACCTTCCTACATGGAATTTCCCAACCTAGTGTCTTCAACTCACACTTGAGTCTGAATCTTTTGATTCTCTTGACTTTTAAGATCCAGTAAGTGTGGGGGAGGCCCCTATACATCTCCTTTTGTGACTCCTTGAAGAAGCCTCTTAAGATTCCCCAGAAGAGTTTAGCTTTAAAGCCAGGGGTCTTCAGAAGAGACAGACCATGTACTGTTATTTTAGAAAGTGAAGATTGGTGGCAGGTAAAAAAAGGATGACAAGAAAGAAAATTTCTAAATAACCTCCCTTCATAATATGAAGAAGTGAGTGAAAGCACTGGAGACAAATGCCTCAGCTGATGAGTGCAGAGGTCAGGAGAGAGAGGGCAGGTCTTAAGTCTCTTTCTTCTGGAAAGGAGTTTCTGTGCGGCAGGTGCTGGCTTACCTCTGTCACGTTGGAAAGGATTATATAGAAAGAAATAGTCCTAAGGATGGAAGGGGGAAGAAGGATGACAGGATGGCATTTTTCTTTTTATTATTTTTTTTTTAATAAAAGCTTTTGAGTGTCTTGTCAAAAACTCATTAAATTCCCACTTACTTGAGTCATAACAATTCGTGGCTAGAGTATCTTCCTTGAGATACTACGTTAGTTGTCCTGAACCTTGTGTCTGTCATGCCCTTGAACTAACTTGAAGAAAAGCTTCCTAAGGAGGAAGGTATAGCTCAGTGGTAGAGTGCCTGCCTAACATGCGCAAAGTCCTGGGTTCAATCCCCAGTACCTCCACCAATAACCAAAAAAAAAGGAAAAAATAAATAAAATAAAATACTTATAAATAAACCTAATTACCTCCTCACTTCAACAACAACAACAAAACTTCCTTAGTCTTCACCTAGATGAACAAGCCTGCCCAGCAGCCCCTTTATGTGCTGACGGTGAGCAGTGTTGTCACCCCTCAGGTATATTATACTTCAGTTGCTTGTCCGTTTCCTGCATGTGGTTTTGTCAAAAGCCACACACTTTAGTTATTAAATCTGTTGCAATCTGTTGAACCCTCTTGAGTATCTGTGGAATTTGGTTAGTCAATGTACACATGGTGGTTTTTAGTGTTGTCATTCCAGCTTTTCGAAGTTCCCATGTTAGGATTCCTTGATGCCAAATATAAGGAGTATATTAGGCATTCTCCTTTATATAATCATTGAATCCCCCTGTGGAAAGATAAATAGATGTAGAAATTATGTCAGGCGTTTGGGGTGTCATATTGAGGGGCTGGCAGATGGAAATGGTTCTAAGGGCAATTACAGAGAGGTCTCTGATTTCTCTGAGCTAAATAGTTCATCTTCAACATGTTTAAATAGGTGTCCTTTTGACTTCCTTAAATGACCAAATGAAATCAGATTGATCCATGTAGTAAATACTCAGACAGGTCATCCCTACTCATGATGTGTTAAATGTTTTATTTTCACTTAATTTTAGTTAATATAGCTCTTACAGTTTTTAAAGCTGTGGTGGAATAACTAAATAATACCTCCCTTTTCCCCCCGTACACATTTTGGAGATTTATTCTTGATGAATTTTTTTAACTCCAAATCAAATTCTCCTTTTCTTTTTGGCTAAAGCCAGGGTTCATCCAAGGTGGGGCTGAGGCTCTCCTCTCAAAACTGATTCCCAAAAGAGGAAGCCTTGACTCACATGTACCCTCCCCAACCTGCCAGTGACTCACTAGATGCCTTTGGATGGAGCCCAGAGAACCTACCTGTCTCCCTTTCTCCACCTGGACAGTTGTGCTCACGCCCACCTGATGCAGAGACCCAGAGAGGTGAATCATTGGTTGGTTTTGGTTTAGTTCTGTGACATCTAGAGGTGAATAGGATTAGCTGTACATATAAGTACTGTTCCTTGTAAAAGGCTGCGTTCTACAAAGTACTTTTAGGTGAATAGCTTAGTTAGAAGTTTCTTGAAATTGTGTCTTGTTCTCTTTGCCAGTGGAGCCCACTTGACAACTTAGGGCCGAGCTTCCAAGATTTGTCCAGGTTGTAGCACTAGCCATGTTAAAAGCCCTCGTTCCCCTGCTCTAACTAATGTCAGCTAAAAAAAAAAAGCACATGACGGGCGTCTAAAGGGATGCAGCGTACTGACACCAATATAAACTTCTCTTAGGTGGTTCTTGCAAAGCAGTTTTTGAAAATACAAGTGAGGAACTGCCTGGGGAAACTGTCTATTGTGGTTTTACTACTGCTGAGACAATAAAGACACTTCTATCCAAGTATGTGATGTTTATTGACATTGATGACTCCTGCAGCTGCTGGTTGGAATATCCAAAAAAGAATGCCAGACTGAGTTGCAGTAGGCTTTTCTTGATTAAACTGTACGTCTTGCCTTGTTTTGATCCAGTTCTCAAACTTTTGGCAAGCTAGAGCCTATTTTATGTGCTTAGTTAATTGCTTCTTCTGGCTTGACTTTAATGGCTAGAGCTGTCCAAACATTGGGTTGCATGGTGGGAGGTGTACAAGCAGAGAAATAAGTAAGCATTCTGAAGGAATGTTGTAGGGAAAATCCAAGCTCCAGACAAATGGGAGGTTAAGCCAGAGTCTCTTTGAGTCTCATCTAACCTTAGGATTCTGTAATTTGTTTGTAAGCTCCTCTAGCCTGTTCAACTCGCTTTGCATGAATCCACATGTGTGTAGGTGTGCTTTAATGAGTACTGGTTGTCAGTGAAGTTTCCCAGCACTCTCACCATGATGTCAGCTCACTCAAAGAGACAAAAATCACTGCCTTGTACAGTCTTTGAAGCATAGGCAGAGAGGAGGGCACCCACTTACACTTCCCTGTTAAACCAAGGGTGTTCAAGGGGCCACTGGTGTTCAGAACTGTTTTAAGCATTAGTTCTGACTCTGGGAAAGATGAAAGTCAAAACCCAAACCCAGGCTTGAGATCAGAAGTTCTCAGTTCTTACTCTGGTTTTGCACTAACTAGCCATGTGTGTCATGGTGAGCCACTCAGTCTCTCTGGGCTGTAGTTTCCCCACTTACAAAATAGGGCCGAGTGGGAGGACTCGGGAGGCAAATCCATGATTCATTCATCCATTCAACAAGCATGAGCCAGGCCCTGTCCTTGCTTCTCGGGATGCAGCTAAGATGATTGGTAAGGTGCCAAGGTTGGTTCCTTCCAGTGCCAACATTCTTTGTTACTAACTCCAGTGATGGAAGGAAAACAGGCAAGTGGCATAGTTTAGGTTTCCTTGATTAGAGTGATAAGTTAAGTGGCATAGAAGGAACAAAGAAGAATACATTTAATCATGAGACAGTTCCTCTAAGAAACAAAAGACGAGAGCAAGACCGCTCAGGACATCCAGAAAAGTGCTAAGTCCTGCCTCATCCCCGACCACTTCAGTTACCGACTATGCTGGGTGTCCTGAGGTCACACCCAGTGGCCACCAGTTCATGCATCCATAAAATGGAAATACTAACAATGAGGACTCTTGAGAAGCTTTGAACTTGAGTAAAAGTGAAATATTTAATAAGTGAAAAAGCTGAGAGTATAGTTCTGACACTCTGTGATGAGCTCATTTAAGTGCAGACGAGAAAAAGAGAGTTTTTGCTCTAGTCACGCAGTGAGTAGTTCATTTATTTGCCTAATACTTACTAAGCAACTACTGATGCAAAGAGGGACTATGTGAAGATGCAGATATAATTAAAATCGACCTTGATTGTGATACAGAGCCCAGAAGGTAATGATGGAGTAGTATGGCTAGTAAATGGCTTGAACAATATCAGGTATTTAAAGGCGATTCTGCTGCTTGTATAGTAAGACTTCAGAAAAAGAAAAAAAACTTCAGAAAAAACAATCCACTGACTTGTCTATGCTTGTCTTTCTACTCTTATGTTGATTACCCTCACTGGAGTAGGTCAGTAACTTCTAACTCATTTCTTGTCTTATAAGTAGAGATCTTTGTAAGAATGTTTTCAAATGGTACTTTCAAGTTGCAAGTGGCAAGAACTCCTTAGGGAGTCTTTAATCTCAAGATTATCAGTCTAGCTAAGTATAATTAAAAGACTGCCTTCTCTCTGTACTGCTGAGTAATGATGAGAAACAGTAGTGTAACTTTCTGAATGTTTGCTAACCATGTTCTCCACGGACAATTTTAGTCAGTGGTAATAATATTGTAGAGGTATCTGCAAATTTAATGGGCCAGAAAGGAGCATATTTGCTTCTAGATTTGATCCAATCAGACCAGCTCAGAGTTAACAGCTGAAGGCTGTATCTCTCTGGTCTAAAATATTTTGTAGTTTTCAAACATTTCTCAATTTATCTGCCCTGACAATTACTGTTCTACCTGGAAAATTTCATCTTATAAAATTAGATGCATAATTTAAGATTTTAGAAAAAAATGAAAAAAAAAAGATTGGGTTCAACTAAAAGTCTGAACTTTTTTTCTCCCCAGGTGAATTTCTAGCTTTTAATGATCTAAACTAAGTCTGGTTTTAGGTAGCAAATTTTTATTACTCTTAGGCTCCCTAGGCAGGTGTTTCTCAGTATTATTTCAAAGATTAAGCTTAACACAAGAGAGTATTTTTACCTATCGTATTAGAATTTTTTAAAGGAAAAAACCTGCTCGGATTTAAATTCGTGGAACACAGATCAAATAATCCAGGAAGCTTGCCAGGCACGGTTCTTAGTGCTGTGGCTGGAAACATGAACAAATACTTGGCCCACGTCATCAAGGAGCTCACAATTACATATTTTAGCTCTCTGACTTAAAAGCCTTCCATAAGACCTTAATGTGAAGGATTCATCTGGTTCCAGCTTAAGACTGTGCAATTTATATTCTATCCACACATTAAATTCTCATTACTGTAGCACAACACTTGCTTACTTGGAGTTGTAATCCACCGTTACATATATGCCCAACTAGTGAGTTTTCATACCGTTCGGATTCTCAGCCTGTTTTTTTTTTTTTTGTATTTTTACATTTTCCCTCCCCATATCACTATAGTTAAGAATTCACCCAAATATTTCCAGTGATGCAAGATGAGACTTTGTGTTTGATCCCCATCTAGTATTGTAAACTTGTAAGACATTTCCTAAGCCGATGGATGCCAGGATATAAATGAAAAAAATATCGCTTTGCAGAATAGAATTATTGCTTTATCAGATTTTAAAAAAATGAAACATGATCCCCTTGCTCTATATGGTTTGTATAATTCCTAAGCATAGGGTTTTTCCCCCATTTTCCCCATTATTTTGTGCATACTATGCAAATTATACATTATCCCATAAAGAAAGGAAACATACTATAGTTTGTAGCCAACAGATCAAATTATCTGTTCCGTCCTCCTTAGAAACTTTGTAGAAATCGTGGGAAGAGTAAAATGGGTATGGCATGGAACTCAATGTGTTTCCTTTGAGCACTGGAAGAGGAACACACTTAGAGATCGGGACTGTGGGGGTGAGCTCACTCCAGGCGAGTGCAGGTGGAGCCCTAGAGGGGTGGATCCGCGTGTGCTCCCTGCCCGGGTGGTTTTACACACAGCTGACTCAGGAGGTTGAGGCCAGCAGACTCCTTGTGATCCGAGTGCTCAGACCTGCTGGGCTGGTGGCCTGGTGTTCTTACGTGAAGTACAGATCAGAAAGATTATTATCGAAGCTGAGTCTGGTTTGGGGCCCTCCAACTCCAACAAAGTGGAAAACTTAGAGGGAGGTCAACGGAGAAAGCAACAAAAAGTGATGAATAAAGGGTTGGAAAAGTGAGCTTTATGGGTAAACAAAGCAGAAGGTGGTTGAGAGATGTAAGAGGCTATACATATTTAAAGGGCTGTCATAGAAGACAGCATAAAAATCCTCTCACCCCTTCTTTAAGAGTCTCCAATGACTTCTATTACATTTAGAATAAATTCCAAACCCCTACCCCCAGCTTGCAAGGCCCTACATGATAGATGCCTTCTGCCTACCTTGCTAAACCCACCTCTTCTTACTTTCCACATCCTATCGTCCTCTAGTAGAGTGATTAGTGACCCCAGTTTGTCCAGGATTGAAGGCCTTCTCAGGAGGCAGGACTCATAGTTTTAATACTGATAGAGTCCCAGGCAAACGGACAAGCGATCACCCTAACCTCCAGTCACATGGATTATCTTTGTTACCTTCAGCATCTCCTCTTCAGTGTTCCTTTGCCTGAAATGCTTTCCTTCTGAGTGGAACTTAGGACCAATCTGCAACCTGCATTATGTCTAAGAGCTAAATTATTTCATTTTTCATTTTCCTTCTAAGTAATGATTGTCTTTGCAAAAACTGCTGGTTAATCGGAACGCAGGAGGCACCACAGCAACGGAGTCCGTGGAGCTTTCCTCTGGATGTCCCGATGTGGTTTATGATTCCAAGGAAGAAGTTTCACAATAATCTTATTTGCAGCTGTATTATCTGGTAACCCCACGGTCCATGACACCGTGTTTTGATTCAGGAGTTCTTGTACCACCCTGGGATCTTACGATTAGTGTATGGGTAGGTGCCCATTTGCCCACGCACATTTATGGGAAAGTGGATCTGTAAGGGGAGCAGGGGAGTGTCTGTGGTTTGCCTTTTAATTAAATCAAGTAAAAATTTATTGTGGCTTTCAAAATATCTCTCAAATTACTGTAAAAGAAGCCTTGGATACTTCTCAGAAAGTGTTATCACAGATTGTCTGGCAATGGCAAGGGTGGCAATATTAACAAATTCAAATTGATTGATGTTCTAAAAATCTTTAGTGTTAGTTATGATTTGTAACCTAAGTTTTCAACCTTAGAAAATACTGAAGCTGAGCCTAGGTCTACATTAGATAGTGAGACATAGAAGCTCCATCTTGTCCGCCACTTTTGAAAACCATCAGGAAGTCAATTGTTCAAACTTCCTGGTTAGAGATATCATCATTCACACTTTACATAATAAAAGCATGGCCCCAAAGAATAATAAGTAGCTTGCCCAAGATAGCATGTTTGCTTGCAGTGTAAATAATATTTATACATGCAAAAATGCTTGTCACGTGTTCGCACTGTCAATGAAATAATGATCTTTATTTGGAGAAGGAAATAAATCTGGACATCATCAAACTCATCCAACTATTATTTCTCATTTTTCTTTGAAAGTCTGTGCCTTTATGCCACAGGGATGGTATCAGGTTTTCACTCTTTTAAGAACTTTACTGGCATAGGCTCTCAAACCTGACCCTATTTATTTGATAATGACTTAGTACACCAATGACAACAGCAGGGAATTTGAAAATTAGTGGAATCCTGAGAAATACTACATTGAATTATTTTCTGCTGTTTTACAACATGACAGTTTGAATAGTTCTAGAAACTGGTGATCTCTCTGAACATAAATCTACTATGTTCCAAAATAATGTCTCAAAGTGTATTCTGTTTTGTTCTGAGGAAATAGTACGCACATCCCCCAACCCACACTCGTCACTGGAGATACAAGTGGTCCTTATCCAGCCATGATAATGTATTAGAAATTCATTTCTTGTCTTCCGTATTCGCCCACCCAGATTCTCTGCAGCTTGATGACTGGAGTATAAAGCTATTGACTATTACCAAGATATATTGTAAACTGTTTTAATTATGAATGTTTTAACATTGAAGAGGGCACATATGATTGTTATTTCAAATTTAAAATACTCCATTGTTAAGGATTAAAAATGTATTAATTCAGCTAAACCTATTGAACTAGATCAGTGATCATTTAGTCAGAGGGTTTTGAACTGAATGTTGAAAACACAAAGTGCTAGAGCTGCAAGGATTCTTACTCATCATTCAGGCGTTTGTTTTTCTGGAGAAGAAACTATGTTGATTACCTGCAAAAAAAAAAAGATCACTAGAACTGGGCTCTCTTGATTCCTAGTTATGTTGTCTCTCTTCCATACAACACTGAAATATACTTGGCCCTCTACAACTCTTCTCTTGTTGGTCTAGACATGATTTTTACACGTTCTGAAATGTTTTCTGCCAGGTACTTTGCAAGCAACCCGCGCCTTGATGGTGATTGGCATCCTGCTGGGACTGATAGCCATTTGTGTGGCCACTGTTGGCATGAAGTGTATGAAGTGCCTGGAAGATGATGAGGTGCAGAAGATGCGGATGGCTGTCATTGGGGGCGTGATATTTCTTATTTCAGGTAAGAGCCGTCCTGTCCCCCGTTGGCCTTATTAAACTCTCTCTGGCATGGTTTAAGATCTAGTTTTTGGTTTCCTTAATTACATTGGTTTTGTTGCACTTGGATCGATTTAATTCAGTTCCTTTAAAATCTGAAGACAGAAAACCATAAGTCCAGTTGACCTTTACATGAAAATTTGAGATTGCTGCCCATAATGGACAGGTCTATTCCCTGAAGTTTCAGGTACCAACTGGTTTGTTCGAACCGGTTTCTCCAGGCAAAGAGTGAGATTTCTTACCTAGCACACACTAAGGAGCAATTCTATATAATGTAGAGACTTTCCATAGTGTCCCTGCAGACACCGTGTGGAAAAGATGGGGGATACTGAAAGAGAACGTGAAGAACATGTCAGCCATGCAGGTGTGTGGAGAATGGATGGGGCTGGGGTTATTGGAGGAAGATGAGGACATCATTCCACGTGGGCAGGTCTGATTTCAGAACAAACACGCCGCCATCTATCCATCAGTGGAGAGAAATGCCAATTGGAGTGGAGGTGGAACATTGGAATCCTAGGAAATGAGAGTAAATGAGTTTGGAAAGAAAATAATACAACGAGGTCTTGAGAAAAACCTTGATAAAAGAATGAGGTTGTCTTTTCCATAGAAAATCATTATGTATTTATTGTTTTATTCACATGTTGATTAAAGAGTTAAGATCCTGTGACCTTCGAGAAAATGAGAGCCGGAGGAAGACATCGACACTTTGTAAAGCCTTATAATGAGGTTTATATTAAATGAGATAGTGTGGGTATAAAATTGTGTGTGTATAAAGCAGTAGGCTATATTACTATGTATTATCTATAGTATATGTGTCATATACTATATGTAGTGGTCTATTGTTTTGAAATAGACTATTATGTATACTATATAAAGTGTATATAGTAGTCTATTATTTTTGAAAATGACACCAATGATATAATCTACCACTAGAAAATTCTACCACTAGAATTAGACTTCCTTCTCTCATTTTGTTTTTAACAAGAGGAGGGGTCCTGCCCCCAGCATGTATGTGGATTTCATCAGTAATGTAGGAGTACGTGTGGGTTTGCTAAAGGCTTAATTAGTTTAACATGACTGGGCATTTAGTTTATTCAAATTGCTCCTATCAGGAAAAGCATGGATAGCATTTTATTCCCAGAAGTTTGATTTTACATCAAAGGCTATGAATAAAAGTTACTGTGTAGACCCTTCCTTTTGCTTGTCTCTTGTAAGTCTCACCCATCACTCCCACTTCAGTTTCTGGGACTTCCTAGGGAGGGAGGGTTACAAGTTCCAGAGCATTCTCAAGATCTATTTGAGCAGCCCAAAGCAGGAGTGTTTTCTCCTGAGTATTTAGAGGCAATTAGATTGCACCACTTTTCTGTGGGAGGAAGGAGGAAGGGGGGTAGCATAGAAACATTTAATCTGTCTAAATTGATGAATTTTTAGAATTACTGTAAAAAGAATTATTTAGTTTCTTTGGATAAGAAAAATTGAGGTGTTGTATGCTTCTTATAAGTGATAGACTGGATTACTTTGACTATACAGTTTCTCTATTACTGAAATATGAAAGGCAGGAGAAATTGGGAGTGTACTGTCCGTGTCGATCTGATGTGGTCAGCGAATCTCAAGGCAACCCCTAGCACGTCTGGCCAGTGGGCTGTAGGAGTTTAGGCGATCTGGCCCACTCTGAGACAGGTCCTGCTCCTTCCTGCTACCTAGGAATCTTTACTTTGATTTGATCCTTCAGAAGTGTAAATTTTGAATCTTGGCCAAGAAGAATGTAGAAGGGTTTTCATCCTCCCTTTTCTATGGGACTGGCTATACTAATAAGGACTTCGACTTTATCCAAAGTAGTCAAGTGCACTAACGTATAGCGCTGTATTTGAGAGAGATCTTAAATGACATGAACCTGCTGAACTGTTCCCCAAAAAGTGTTACTTATGCCGATGACCTTGAACTATAAGTGAATAAGATGACGTGAAGAGTATAAGCTATGCCTAACTCCAACCTAATATTTTGTCTGTCTTAAGAGAATATTTAGGATAAATCATGCCTGAACCACTAATCTCCCTAAAGTCATCTGAATTAAAATGGACTAAATTAAAAATGTCAGGACTGTTGATGAGAGTTAATTCTAGTAAAATACTTATACATGTAATGAGCCGTATATTTATGCTCCACGTTCCATGGTGATTAACAGTCTTTTGTTTTGAATTTCTGTAGGTCTGGCCGTTTTAGTCGCCACAGCGTGGTATGGCAATAGAATTGTTCAGGAATTCTATGACCCCATGACCCCGGTCAATGCCAGGTAATGCTGTTCACGCGTATAGTTTGCTCTCTGAGAAAATACCCTTGTTATGTTCTGCATAGTCTGGGTCGTGCTATAGCTTCCAGATTTGCCATCCAGAATTTTATGCAATTTTCTGTCAAACTTGAAATAATTTGAATGGCCTGTAACTCATGTTAAACTAAGTTTGGTACTTGCTTTAACAGCCTATATTAATGACAAAATGAACTTCAAGGTAGAAAAGTTCCAAGGTGTGTGCTTTTCAAATGTATGCCAAAATGTATGTTTTTCCATATTTAAAAAAATATTATTAATAAAGATACCAATATATTTGAAATTTCATTTTGAAGTGTATTCTGATACTTATAATACTTAATTGTGACTATTTGTAACTGAACACAGCTTATGATTGATCGAAAAAATAGTATCTCCTGTAGAGGTTAATAAATAACACTTCATTTCTAACAGTTTATTAATCTTATTTATGGAAAACAATCTATTTATGAAAATGATAAGTTACCGCTTTGAAATTCTGTGTCTCATCTCAACCATAAAATTAACTTTACAAAAGTCTTCCTTCTTAATACTGCAAGTTGTGGAAGTTAAAGAGCTGACTCCGGGCTCTCACTTAATGACACTGTTTGATCAGAACAAGGCTCCTTGTCTCATTGTATTCACATCTTTAGAGGCTAATAACTACATTTAGGATCAGGATGTTAGGCTGTAATTATTGTTTGTTAAGTGCTAAGATGAATGGATGAAAACTCTAGTGGTTGGAGAGAGAAGGTGTGTTTCTCTTTGTGATGATCACCCATGCATAGGAGGACACGTACCGCGATGATTGTGTTGGAACCCATCCCATAAGATTTACCACATAGGGGCAGAAACTGCTGGAGGTCAATAGGCTAAAATTTTACCAGTAATGGATATGAAAGCACAGTACAAATTGCTAGGCGCTGTACACTTGTTTGCATTGTCTCACATGATCCCCAAAGCCGTTCTGTGACACGGATGGGATCAACCTGCTTTACGAGAAGCAGTAACTGAGGCTGAGCGGTGGAGTTCCCAGCCCAGTGTTGCAGCACTTGAGAATTTGCTTTAAGATTTAAACCCAGGCCTTTTCACTCCAGATGCAGCCCTTCTCTATTCTTATTGTCCACCATCAATCGCAGGTCTTCTCCCCAGAAGTATGGCTTCATACATCCGCCTGGGTCAACTTAATCTAGAACAACCTGTGGGCTGCTGAGAAGTCTTCTGCACAAAACCACAAATTTCAGATTTTAGTGTTTATAGGTACCTGGGATTAACTATGCCAAACGTTAGCAGTCTCCACCACACTGTAGCAGTTTCTTTAAAAAGTATGGCTGCTGCTTCGTGCTACCACGCCTTGTTAAGTGTCAGCCTAGGATCCGAGGACCAAGCTGACTTCTGAAACATGTGAACATGCTTTACAAGTCTCCTACACGTGGGAGAGTCTTTCATTTTAGTTGTGTAATAGTTGTGAAATTAACCTGCTATTGCATGTTGTGTTGCCTGATCTACTATTGCAAATTGTCAACGACGGCATTGTCAACATTCTTGTGTGTGTGTTCACAAACCTCAAAGTACTTCATAAAACTTAAAGAGATGATGAGGAGTTATTTCAGTGGGAAAACGTAGTAAGTATGATACTGATTTCTTTCCTTAATTACGTTAGAAACACTTCCAGTGATTCATTGATTAAACAGGTGCGCATGATCTTTTCTTTCTAGGTATGAATTTGGACATGCTCTCTTCACTGGCTGGGCTGCTGCTTCTCTCACCCTCCTGGGAGGTGCCCTGCTTTGCTGCTCGTGTCCCCGGAAAACAACATCTTACCCAACGCCACGGCCCTACCCGAAACCTGCGCCTTCCAGTGGGAAAGACTATGTGTGACACAGAAGCAAGCGGAGACAACTCTGTGGGGGAGAAAACAGGAAATGGACATGGAAATACTGTCACTGACATTAAGAGCTTAGACTTTTGGCTCTTGTAGTCTGAACTATGGTGTTACTAAAAAACCGTATTTTTTTAAATACCCATTACTAAAAATGGCTTTTTCTTATTTTAGCTCCTTTCCTCAATACAGGAGGGAAGTATTTTCCATTTGTATCACTGCTTCCCATTGAGTAATCATCTCAGTTGTGGGAGGAGGGCGCTCCTTAAATATATATAGATATGTACATATACATGTTTTTCTATAAAAAAAATTAGATGGTGAAAAATCTTATTTTCCTTATGTGGGTACCAGCATACTTAAAATATATCTAAAAAAGAAAAATATATTTAATTCTATATTGATTAAATAGGTAGTTTATATGATATTTTCCTCTTCTTTGTTTATGTACACATAGATAATAAGTCAAATATCATTTACCGTCCTTCACCAGCTTATAGTGTCTTTCACAGAAGACCTGACCTACTTTACCAAGTATGAATTATTTCAATTCTTCCCATGTGCCCTTTACGTATACTTACATATACTTTTTACTATGATCTTACAGTATTTGCTTTGTCATCGGTCATTCTTCATGCCTTTGCTTTTTGTGAGGTTGGGCTTAACTCTTGAATCTGACAACACATTTTATATGCCTATAATTTAATTCTTAAAGTCTATAAGAATCTCTTACAAATCAGAGCGTTGGGAGCAAATCATTCTGTGCGACTAGATGGTATATTCCTGTTGACCTTCCCACACGCTCCCTGTACTCTGACCTAGAACATGCCTGTTTGCTTTGAAAATATTTGTTACATTGAGGAGCTGTGTGCTGCTTTCCCAGGTGTTGTAACACAGTTTCATTGATTGAATTTTTTGAGCTACTTTTTCCCAGTTGTATATCCTCCCAAACTACCTTTTTCTTCCCCTCCTTCCTCAACTGTACTGCTTTCCCATACACTTTACCTCTTGTCAGAGACGGGTAGCCTGCTTGTCTGCATGGAGTGTTGGACTATCTGCAGTGACAATCTGATGACAGATATTCCCTCTGTTTCTGTAAGGGAGTCATTTACTCTTTCTCCTCTTTTCCCATCTGTCAAATTGAAATAATGATACTTAACCAGCTGGTAAAGTGGTGTAAGTATTAATTAGCTGATATTATGCTCATTCTTTGAACATGAAATATGCCTAAGTAGTATTTGTATTTGCTAAATTGGCTGTTAAGAAGTCATTGAACCAGACCTACATGCAGGCATTCACGTTGTTCAGCACCTTCTTTTCTCCACAGGTCCATGTCCTTCCTCTCAGCTGCGGCCACCATGTTGTTGGTGCTCTGTCCCATTTTAACAATTGCTCTTAGTTTTCTGGTCTGTGGAAAATGCTCCTTCACTTGAACAAGATGATGTAATGGAAAGGGTGTTGACTTCAGTGTCTGGAGACCTAATTTGAGTCTTGGTGCTATCAATTACTGTGTGAGTTTGGGCAAGGCACTTGGTTGCCCTAGATTTATTGCTTCATTTATAAAAAGAGGATTGTATTCCTGACCTGCCTACCTCACAGGGCTGTTGTGGGGATCCCAGGAGATGGGATGTATGTGAATGTGATTTTGTAGGATGAGAAATATTGGACTAGGGGAAAGAATTAAGGAATTCAAGTGCATGGGTTTGGGATTACTTTTCAAATGACTGAAAAGAGAGAAATTTTAAGACATGGGTTTCTTGCCTTAACCATTCTTTCCAGTGATGAGACACTAAAGTGGAATTCAGCTTTTAAGTGAAAAGGATTCTAAGAAAGTGTTAGTTTTCTTCAGTCAGAATGGCCTGATGCTTTTTGTGGGTAAGCTTTTCTCCTATTAGGAATGCAGACTTGACCTAGGACAATTTTGCAGATGTGATGGATAAAACAGAAGTGTCAGTGTTGGCAAACCAAAGAATGGAAGATTTTTTTGAATTATAATGACTTACAAGGGTAAACAAGGTGGATATCTCTCAAGTGATGTCACTGGAGGTGTTGCTATCAGCTGGCAGCTAGCACTGCTAGAAAAGGGAGTTGGGGACTGTAAGTCATAGTGAAACCACATGGGGAAATTATCCAAAGGACTGCATCATAGAATCTGAACCTCATAAATTTCAGTGTATCTTCCAAAAGTCTGTGCTCCTAGAATGTGTAGTTCAAAGAACCTCTGCTACATGCATAGAGCCTAATGATGGGTAGATATAAATACATGGGGTTACTAGTTGCTAAACTCTAAAAAGAAATCTATAGTCCAAAGTGGCCAACAGGATTGTTACACCAGAATTTATCTAATTTTGATATTTTTGTACTCTGCTACATACCTGGAAACAGACAAATAGATACTTGGGGTTTTGTAATGGGAATTTGTATAAAGCATTACTCTTTTTTCAATAAATTGGTTTTTTTTGTAATATAAAACAAATCCTTGGTTTGTTTTTTTAATCATTTATTTCAAGATTGCCATGCTTGGAAAAGAAGATGGCTTGGGACAGCACCTGACTCACTGTGTGTCCCTGGGAAAGAGCTGTGGTGCCTCTGGGCCATCTGTCAGCTATTTGAGTGACTCCACCCACCGGGATGCCCTATTTCTCACACACTGTGCTTCTTCTTCATCAAGGGCGGTGATAGAAGAGAATGTCAGGAGAAGTTACTTAATTTTCCTCACCCATAGAAAAGGGACATGCTATGGTAAGTAATTAAGTGAAAAAACAGCCAACTGTAAAGTACTGTGAAAACTTAAGGTGGTTGTGTTCCTCACAGGTTGGAAGAGAGGAAGATAGCCAGAAATCCATTATTGTTTTTGTAATGATTATTATTAAAACTAAGTTTTAGGTTGGCAAATGATAAAACTCATCCACTCATTATCTGAAAATGTCAATAATTGATAAAGCCTTAATTGAAACCTCTCCCTAAGCAATTTTCATAATAAAGAGACAGCCTTGTAAGCAAAGGATTGCTGCTCTATGTGGAGTCTCAGACATTAGCACTAAGGGTAAGAGACTAAGATTATTGTCAGGCAGTTTGATCTGAACTCCCCTTAAATTGTTGTTTGTTTTATTTGTTTTAGACTATTTTTTCTTTTTTTTTTTTAAACTGAGGGAGTGGGGATTGAACCCAGGACCTCGTGCATGCTAAGCAAGCACTCTACTCCTGAGCTACACCCTCCCCATGAATTCCCCTTAAATTAAGCAGATGCATCAGAATCCCCATTCTTTCTACTGAATTTAAATCTCTGGGGTGGGTTCCAGGCTCATGAAGTTTGAGAGAAAATAAAATTCCTCAGTGCTTCTGACGAAAACTCTTCAAAGGAAAACCTGGATTGTCAATCATACCAAGTAGACATTCATCTCTATGTAAGCTCATCCTTATCAGACGCCATTGTCCTGAAAGCCATGTCATTTCTCACCCCCATCATTTAGTACTTTCTATGTGGACCTGTGCCCTGGTCCAAGGAAATCTTTGTACCATTCCCATTTTCCCACATTTTAAAGCCTATTGTTAATTCTAGTAAAATCTGGTAGTGGATTTTTTTCCCTTCTCTTTGTGTGTGGCTCGGGTATAAGATTTCCACAGCCTCCTCCTCCACCACCCCAGACATACCTCGTGTACCTCCAGCCTGCCCTAAAATCTCTACAAATAGGTGGTACCATGGAAACTGGCAGAAGTCACTGCAGGTTCTAGGGTTATGTGGGGACAGCTTGTTGAGTTTAAAAACACAGTGAGAAACGTTCTCAAGGCTCTGAAACACTGCAGACCTCATGGCATTTTGTATACCCATCTTCCATTGACAGGTTTTTCCCCACATGGCCAGTATCAGCAATTAGACAGGAGATATGAATTTATGTAATTAATGTTTACTGAACTCATATGTGGAATCTAAAAAAAAAAAAAAGAAAAAAGAGGACACTAATGAACTCACCTACAAAACAGGAATAGACTCATAGACATAGTAAACAATCTTATGGTTACTGGTGGGGGGAAGAGAGTGGGAAGGGAAAAATTGAGAGTTCAAGATTTACAAATATTAACTACTATATATAAAAACAGATAAAAAACAAATTTCTTCTCTATAGCCCAGGGTACTACATTCAATATCTTGTAGTCACCTATAATGAAAAAGAATATGAAAACAAATAAATGTATGTATGTGTATGAATGAAACATTATGCTGTATGCCAGAAATTGATACTTCTATACTTAAATAAAAATTAAAAAAAAAAAGAGAAGTGAGCTCTAATACAGTAAGGACAAAAGACTTTATTTTTGATGATTATTTTTACCATAATATTTATTTTTCTGATAATAAAATCAAAACTTATTAATCATTAAAGTAGAAAAGTAAAGTAGAGATAATTATTTTAAAGACTATAATAACCATATTACTCAAAAGCAAAACTATTAACAATTTGATGTGATCGTCTTAGTCTTTCTTCTTTCCTAAAGATAAGCTTTGGAGCTTGTTGTTATTTTTTACTTTTTAATCACATGGAAAAAATAATTTTGATTTCTGTCCTGTTTTCTATTCATGTATATAGTAATATACTGCTACCATGCAGACTTCATAAACAGTCATTCATTCATTCAGGTAATATTTTTAAGAAGTTAATATTTGTTAAATATTTTCTACCACAACGGAAATGGTGCCCTGGATTTGTGCAACATAGAAACCATGAATAAAATAGACAAAGCACTTTCCACTCCAGGAATTTATATTCTAGATGGGAAACATAGACAATAAAATATATATGCTAAATATGTAGCATATTAAATAGTGGTAAGCCATATAGATAAAAACTAAAGTAGGCAAGGACTGAGAGGGTGTGGGGAGGGTAGCAATTAAAAATAATGAGGTCTTGGAAGTCCTCAATGAGAAGATGATGTTTAAGAAACAGCCTAAAGGAGATGAAGCAGAAAATCAAGTGGTTATCTAGAGGAAAGAACATTCCAGAAAAAGCAGGTCTAAATGCTCTACAGGGTATGAAATGTATAAATGTAAAAAATGTTCAAGAAAGAGTAAGGAGGCTGGAACGCTTTAAGCTAGGAAGAGAGTGGTAAGAGAGGAAGGCATGATGGGAAAGGGCACCTAAACTGTACAGGACGTGGTGGACCACTGTAAGCACTTCATCTTTCATTTCAGTAAAAGAGTGTTCATTTTTGAGAAAAGAAACCACAAGAGCTAAATTAAGGGGTAATTTTCCCTGTTGTGTTGAGAATAGTCTATAGGAGAGCAAGGAGAAAAGGCGATGAGTTCAGATGGAAAGTTACCACAATAAGCCTGGCCAGAGATGGCTTGGTGATAGCATGTGCAGTAAGAAGTGCTTAGAATCTGGATCTCATTCTAAAGTAGAGCCCGCCAGTTTTGCTGATTGACTGGAAATGAGATTTCAGATTAAAAGAGGGGTCAAAGATGACTCCAAGACTTTGGGCCTGCCTGAGCAATTAATAGTCTGGAGCTGCCAGAAACCAGGGAGGGAAAAGTATGGAAGGGTAGATTTGGAAGAGAAAATTAGGTTTATCATCACTAGACTAAAAAGTCAGTAAAAGTAGAAATTAAATCTATTTTACCCATTATTGAATCTTTTATTATCTTCCAAACTTTTTATTCCAGTATTGTCAAGAGTATCCCCAAAGAAGTGCGGTGTATTAGAGTCTTAGGCCTGCCCTAGATTTTGGTCCTGATTCTGCCCTTCACTAAGAGTATCTTTTAATGATTACATTTTAGTAATTTAATGTAGTAGTCAAGACCAAATGTGCCAGGTTAGGTATTCTTGGAAGCAGGATGTCAAGACAGAATTGCAAGAGATGGAATGTTAATGCTTGTGGAAGAGAAAGGGGAAAGAAAGCAGGAGTGGACAAGAAAGGCTTTACCAGGGATTGGCAAACTTTCTGTGAAGGGCCAGATGGTAAATATTTTAGGCTCTGTGGAATGCATATAGTCTCTGTCACATATTCTTCTTTGCTTTTTGTTAGAAAAATTCTGTTTATGGGATGTCCAAAAAGAAGCTGTGGTCCAGATTTGGCTCATTGGCCATAGTTTGTCAACACAATCTGGTCTGACAACTGTGAAAGGAGAGAGGAAGGGAGCCCTGGTTTAAAGGATGTCCATAAAAGAAACCTTCACTGGGCAGAAATGGCCAGACTCTCGTACCCCTGCTGTGCTTAGTCATCATCTGAGAGCTGTCCAGCAAGAGAGTGGTTTCAACCAGAAGGCTGCAGCAGACCCTAATGGCACTGCAACTAAAAGCTGTTGGCAAACTGTCCCCAACATGGCAGACTCTGTTAAAAGAGGGGTGTAAATAGTGCACTTCCTGCATGCCACATGAAAGTACAGAGAATTAACCACATAGAGGTTTGTCTCATATAACAAGTCATCCAGAGGTAGGTAAACCAGGGATGGCATGAAGAATCTGTAACATCATCAATAACCAGGTATATCCCATCTTCTTACTCTATCATCCTCAGTGTGTGGCTCCATTCTCATGGCTACTTTATGGCCTCAAGAATACTACTCAGCCTTCACCCTTATTACCTTATTCAATGGAAAAAGGAAAACATAGGAATGATAAATACAAAATTCACTGTAATATTTCTTCTGGAAGAAGACAGTGGTGGGATGGATGGAGAACTTACAGGCATATTGATGTTGGTTATGTTCTAGTCCTTGGGTTAGGTAGTGAGTAGGGACATTCATTATACAATTATTCTTCTTTAAAACTTACATACATTACATAATATTCCTTGGTTTGTATCAAACAGTGTTAGAGAAGACAATAAAGAAATATGTCATAAAACAAGGAAATTCTCAGCCGACTTCCATTTTAATGTCTCATTGAATAAAATGGTGCTTCTACAGTCATATCCAGCAACAAGTGAAACTGGAACATTTGGTTTCACAGATGGGCACATCACTGTCCATGAAATCAGAGTTTGCCTGCCTCATTAGCTACATCACCTCGACCAACTTACTAGTATCCCTTAGCCTCAGTAATAACATATGTCCAACTTAACCCACAGAATTTTAGTGGACGTCAAATGACATGAAACTCATGAATGCCCTTTGTAAACTGAAAATATTGAACAAATAAAAGGGATTATGGTTCTTAGGCACAATTCTTTTGAGGAAATGAAAGCCTTTATTTTGATTATTTCAAGTACACAGTTGACTGGGTAACGTTTTTTTCTCTGATTTCATATATTAACCTATTTCAGTGTCTGTCTTCCAGAATGATATATAGACTCAGCACTGAGAGCCCCTGTTACAGACTTAAGAAGCCAGGTTATCATAGTACATCAATATAGACGAGCCTTTTTTTTTAAAAAAAGGATAAAACAGAAAATGTAGACACCATAAAAATAACATCTAGATGCAGCAATGTTACTACATATTTTACTTCTTTCTAAGATGCTGGAAACAAAGC